AATTACGAATAAAAATTACAATAAAAAGATAAAAGATAAGCCCCGCAGGTATGGTGAATGTAAACCCACCTATGTATCATGTTGTCTAAATGCCTGCCCAACCCTTCTTCACTCTGCTCTCCTTTTTCCCTTTACTCAGCCAGAGGCCGCAAACACATTAGCCCATTATAAAGGTCTACGCTATCATTTCTATCATCGTTATTGTTATTATCATCATCAATACCATTATTTTAACTCTCAGGATTAACATTTTATACAGTTGTCGTCCTGTGACATGTATGACTTTCCTGATGAACTTTTTACCAAACAAATATTTTTTCAATAACTCAAAATATTTCATATTAGTATATACTAAAACAGTGGATAGCGTTGAAGGCGCGCTCTGATTGGCTAGTCAAACTCCGAATATCCTTTGCTATTTACTTCCGAGCAACTCTGGAAAAAATGGCGTCCCGGTTTGCATCCGTGACAAGCGAAGAAATCACTCAAATTAACGACGGTAGTGTATATTGTCTCACTGTTTTAGTATATACTAAAACAACTACTCACCTCAGTGTCGGTGGTTAGCGGTGGATATTTACCTCGCCGCTTCGCGGCTCGGTAAATATCCACCACTAACCACCTCCACTTTGGTGAATAGTTGTTAATTATTATCCAACTGTCACAACAACGCGCCAATTCCGTTCCGCTTCGCATACTTCTGTCACGCACTCCCAGTAAATAAACATCCGCGAAATTCGCCCGCACTGAAATAACAGTTTGGCGTGTTGGATAATAAATAACTTATTAGACGTTTTGTTGTGTAGTATCGCTGAGTATTTTTACTCGTTATTTGTATTTTTGTATTTTGACTCGTCCTACGGGCTCGTCAAAATACGGCACAACTCGTAAAAATACTCAGCGATACCACACAACAAAACGTCTAATTAGATTTATATATATCGCCTTGCTCAACTGTCCCTATCAACAGCTGTCCACTGGTTGATCGGTATCCGTTACAAAGTTAGCGGGAGAGGGAAAGGCGAGGCCTACCGATGGTTTTTGCTGCCAGAACCCTTGCTTACAGACCTCTTGTAACCTCGTTTTGCTCAAGGAGACCTTTACACTTAACTTCGAGGATCCAATTGTTAATTCTTCCCTCGGGCTACTTCAAATTTCCGTGTAATTTAGTAATAGAAGTTTGGTGTTAGATTAAGATAGCAACTTCTACCTTATTATTTTGAGAATTCTCATTACATATTTGCTAAATAATGTATGGATATTATAGGGAGAAGTTACTTGTTAATCACATCTGGGACTTAATGGGTTAAACTGACTCGTTGTTAAAGAAACGCTAGGGCTGAGAAGCCGCTCTAAAACTAATAACTTGATGGCTATTTACTTATTTAAATGACTGCCGGGCTGCCATTGATTTCTCTAATTGCTGAGGATTTCGATTCATTTCGTGCTCCTTTTTTCGTGACTCTAACGAACGTGTTTGCTTAAAACAAAGCTGAGCGTTTCATCTCTCGAAGCCTCGCTTTCAGACTTATCCTAAACATTGGCAGTCTAAAGCAATAAATTATTGGGTTGAGAAATGATTGTAGTACAACCACCAAGTGAAAAATGTGGTAAAGAGGCGGGTATGTCACCTTGTAACAGCTGTTGCACATCTTAGAAACTCAATAATAGGTTATAGGAAGTACCCACGTGAATATGAAAGCCCCTGTAATAAGAAGCAAAGTGTTAACCTGTAAGTTATCCTTTTGGGCCGCTGCATTGCGCACGCTCTGTGGTCTGAGTGTAACTTTTATCCAAATGCACGCAGAGCAAACAATTGTTGTGATAATTACTCCAAAACTTGTCACTTGCCAGAAATAAACAAATGTAACAGACTCGCCAAATGCACCCTTATTATACAATTCAATTGCAGTCACGATGGCGGACAGTATCCAAATTCCCACGAGAGCAATTTTGTAGACACTACCAGTCATAACTTTGTGACGTATGGGCCAGACAACTGCATGCATTCGCTCCACTGCAATTACACCCAGAGTAAAAAGACACGCTGTCTTCGGAAAGGTGAGCAACGTATTTGACACACGAAGGGAAATACTCGTTGGTTTGAATATCAGATAAATAAGAGATGGGATTCCAAGAGCTCCAAATATGAGATCAGTGACGGCAAGATTGACGACCATCATGTGCTTTCGTGTCTTGAGGGACGGAGTCTTGATGAAAGTATACAGTGACAAGGAGTTCATGACATGATGATGAAGCTTTCAACAGCATAAACTCCGGTCCAAGCCTTTAAAGTTCCAGTTGACAGCATCTCAAAAACGACCATTTCTTTTAATTTATGAATACCCATTGAAGATAGTTCAGATTTATATGAAATGAATCATGGCATGGAATACATAAGTAAAATGACTATACCCTTAAAAGTGCCAATGAACATACAGTCCCATGCACCCAGAAAAGGAAAGAATTTTAAAACACAAGGTTTTGAAAACAATTTGTTCGCCTTTTTCTTATAGGACAACAAAACAAATATGCAAGCGTTCTTAGCAACTAGTACTGTCAAAATAGTATTCAAATACTTATTTTATGAACTAACCTTTGAAGTCTTTTAAAATAGACAAACACTTGTACGTCTCTTAAAGATCCTTCAGGGAACATGGTTTCGTCGGTAGGGTGAACGAGCAATTAATGATTAGCACTTGTTAAAAGAATTACTTCTATTACTCGAATAACGTTTTTGGGAGGATAAAAGATTTATTTGACATAAGCGATAGCTAGGAGAACCTCAAATAAAAAGAAAACCCCCTGTGTCAATAAATCCTTTAAGTAAGCTGCGTTCATAAATTAAGATGAAATTTTCTGCCAGATCCAACGAATAAAATTTACGTCTAACACTCGTTATAAACAGACCGCCGCCATTGCAAATAAAAGAGAATGTCTTTGGCGTTTCATATAGAAAACTTTGATCAAAACTTCTTTTCAGAACACCTTTCTCAATGTAAATATTATAAAAAATTGGGCTCAGATGTTGTTCAGAGAGAGTCTTGGAGATCTTGCTGTTACCTCATCGAACCATAACACTTTCCAAGTTTCGTAGAAAAATTTCAGAAGGATGAGTTTAGCGTCTTTATTTCCTATTCAAAATCAAACCATTTGAAATTAGGTGTGCCGGTCCATCGCTTAAAGGATTTAGACCTCAGATGAGGAGATTGAATACATCCAAGAAACAGCATAGTGGTTGTGTTGTACGGTTGTGCGTTTTATTCAAAAATACATGCATTTATATTCATCGAAAACGAGTGTTATTTGTTAAGACTATTGAGGTTCTTCTCGTTAGCTGCTTTCAGCCGTAAGTCCGCTAAGTTTCTTTTCAGCTACTATTTACAAAAGGGTAGATTTGCGCGAGTGAAATCAAAATTATTTTTTTTCAAACATTGACTTATTGTTAAAACTTTTAACTCTTCAGAGAGCAGTCAGAATACGTGCAATTTACTGCGCTTCGCGAAGATCGTGATTTAACGGGAGGCTGTCGTTAACCGCATCGAATGATACCGATGATCCCCGAGATTGCTACAAATATAAGTGAAAATGTCTTCGGCAAAATGGCATACTCACAAGCCAACGATGGTGCCTCCAGTCTTCAATCCATTGACAATCGAGTCAAACCGAATCCTAACTGGAACTGCTATCTCACCAGCAACTGGCGAAAGCTTGGATTTTAAAAAATTTTGCTTTTTAGACAGCAATTTAAGGCCTCATTAGAACAGTTTATACATTTCTAAAGATGCTGCTGAAGGACAACGTGAATAGATTATTGCTTAAGATAAACCTTCGCTACAATAGAGGTTCTGCACAGCAGCCATGTTGGATGGCAGGAACAATGGAAATATTTTGCATAAGAAAGAATTTTTTTCCCATGGGTAAAATAATCTCTTGTTCTTGCCATCCAACATGGCTGCTGTACAAAACCTCTATTTCAGAAAAAAGGTGAAGGAAAAACGGAAGTGCCAAGGCCAAGTTCAAAGTATGGCGGTGGGAGTTGATGGCCTCGATCAAACAAAATGGCGAAACCAATATTTGTCCAAGCCACCCTGCCGTTTGAGCCGAAATTAACATCAACTATTAATTACATTTACTTATTCATATGCATAACAGGTCTGTTGGAAGGACATGATTCTTTGGATGTTCTCATTTGGAATTAAGAAAAAACATTTCATTGGTCAAAATAAATAAAACTACTTCCGTGTTATTGTAAATTAAAAGTGTGTCGTCTTTAAAATGTTAACTAATTAGCTCTTCCTTATTCAAACAGTCTCTCTTACATCGTATTTATCTTTATTGTAAAAAGAAATCAAGACTAGACCTAATGTCCGGTTCAGAATCTTAAACACTTTTTCGTTACCCACTTGTAGCTTTTCCCCAGCGAAAAGGTTTTTTCCCTTTTTTGTCGAACATTTCCAAGAAATTAAAGAGCTGTAGTTGAATAGTTGATTTGCAAGCATCACGTTGTCTAGAACATTGAACTGATACAATAACACTACCCTCCCTTAATTATAGATAGGTCCAATTACATCTTAAAGAATTTATACAAATACGACTTCAATTAAAAATCTTCTATGCCGACGATGGGCAACTATGGGAAAATGCACAGATTAATTTTCATAGCAATTATAGATGGTAGATAGTCTTTTACAGTCACTATAATCACAAAACGCAAGATTCGTGCGTGGAATTAACTGATATCAATTCATTCAAATGCCGTGTCTCAAAGATTGAACCAAACGAGCAACAAAGAATGACACAAAATAGCCCATAATAATATGTTTTGCAAATTGGGTAATTGTTTCCGATCTCGTGGGATATCTACAACCAGAATCATATGCCAACATAACAGAAGTGTGTAAATATCTTGGAGGGGACTTAGAGTCCTATTGTATTTACACCCACCTTCGGGTGAATCATTAAATAAAAAAATAAAATAAAAATAAATCTATGTTTATTCTAATTCGCGAGAAAATACATTTGTCATTATGACAACCGTTCTTTCACTTTCGCTATCTTAAAGTTAGATCCAAAGAATCGCTCTATTAAAGGAGACTTTTCTTTTTTTGTTTTTACTGATCAAGGTGCGTCGAAGATAATTCCCTGGCAGAAAGAACCTTTGCCATTGTAGTCATTGATAAGTGATAAAGTACATTTTGCAAATAAACCACAAGCTGATTAGATGGCAAACGTGAACCTTTCCTCGAGAGTTGTTAATTGTTACACATATTCAAAAGGATACTTTTGAAAATAATAATGGTTGTATTATTAAGAAGTTGAAATCATGAATCCTTTCCTTTTTCGATGAAAAAAGAATTGCTTCTTCTTCTTGACTCATCGCATCAAAGTATAAGTATCTGTATTTATGAGCCATATGGCAGGGCGATTGGAAAACGATAGAAAATTGTTCAACGAATCCGCCACAGTCCGAATGAACACGGGTTCTCTTTTTGCATAAAGCGATTCTAAGTTAAAGAATAAACAAGCCGGCATGAATATTTTTTAATAGGACAATTCATTTCTTTTCTCAGCAGGTAAGCATTTCGAAAAGAAAAACATTGTATTTGATGAGAGTAAAACGTGTGAAGTTTTTGATGGATGTACAAGATAAAGATCAATGATTCTACAACTGATGTACAGAAAAGCGTTAGGAAAAAAAGGTATTAAAATTTGTATCTTGAAAAATAATATTGATCACATCCAATAGATTGCAGACACCCTAGGATGACAGGTAAAATTGAATCTTTTTAGCCAAAAGAAAAAGAAAACATTTCAAGTCTATTTTTAGGTATTTGTGGAAGCTCTCATATCAAGCTAAGAATTTTGGTAGGGCTTTATACTGAATTTGAAGCGTCTGCTTCGTTGCCATTTGAGAAGAGGTGTTCTTTGGTGATAACAAGACTGTCGTGATATTGGAAATAAGAAAAGAGGATAAACAATTTGACCGCCACTTCTTTGTTAGGCGAATAAAAGGCGAAAAAATTTAAACCTAGCACAAAAAGGCATGCAATTTCTCATTTATGCCACAACTCTTTCTTAAAAAAGGGCTTTTTTAAATTTCTTTTTGTTCGATTCTTATCCGTGCCATGCAGTCTGTGAACGTGACTTAAGTGTATAATATAGTTTGTGGTTGCAGTCATGTTTTTATTCTATAAACGCTGAGATGACGGATTTGGCTGCGGGAGCTATCCTGGTTGCCAAACTTTCTTCGTATCAACGTGAATTCATAGCAAATTCTCAGCATGCAAGGTAAAGTATATCCATAATTGGTATCTCAAATTCTTCTTATAGGGAATGAGTTGTCACGATAACAAGCTATATCTGGAAAGGAAATGAAGAAAGAAATGGTAAGCAATTTATCAAAACTTGCCATGATTTTTTACAACAGGCACACGAGGCAGGAAAGAAAGACCTTTTTGTGATTGCTGAAACCAAAATTCACAGGGTTAATGAACAGAAATGAAATGTAGAATGTTATAAAAGCAATATTTCAAATAGCTCTCATTTTATTTATAAGTTAAAATGGATGAAATCGGGAAACTCGAGACTTAGGAAACTTGGAACTTTTTAGGTCACTAGCGTTAGCAGACGACATTAGCTAAGTACTCAGATAGCTTTGAATGAGAGGATCTTTGACGATTTGTGTGGCTGGCGTGTGGCTGGCTGTTCTACAATAGAAAGTGAAGATGTCACCGCGGGCTTAGGCATACTGGAAAGCTCGAACGAGAACGAAAAAAACTGAATTATCAAGCCACAAACCACTAGAACAGTCAACAATTGGTGTAATGACGGGTGATCAAATAAAATCAAGAATATCATTGGTTAGTTTGAAACCACATTCTACGCAATAAGGTGGACAACACTTCTTACTTTTGGAGGAATTTGAAGATTTGTACTGTATCTCACGGTATTTCATTCTAATATTTTCCATTTTGCAAGTGAAAGTAAACGATATCTACTTTCAAAAGTAAACTAAAAGAGTTTTTTTTTCCCCTTGGGGCGATGGAAGTCTAAGTGATAGTTATGTAGGCTGAGCTTAAGACTAGCCATACCATCGAGGGTATTTGGCGGAAATTGCTCAACTAATTGCCGAAATTTTTTGTCACCGCTTTGGCTAATGGCAGAAATATGGAAATTTCTAATTGAAAATAACTGCTCAATTTAGTCGATGTTTGCCACAACAACCTACCTTAAACCGTTTTCTACTTAATCCCAAACCCAAATACATACGATCTTTTCCCAGGTTTTGCAACTGATCACATCGTGTTCTTTGGGCTTCAGTTCTAGAAATTACTCCCATCACTCCAATGCCAAAGGCAAAGTCCTCTTTTCGAGAGGCTGTGCTTACCTTTCAGAAGACAATAAAGGCGCCAGTGCAGATGTTTTTTCTAATGTTGTTCCTGAGGAAGTCAAACTCAGTCCTTCTCATCATTGAGTAGAAGTTTCTCGAGTCCCTGTTCCTGCTGATAATAAAATTTCTTCTTTTATATTTTAGTCTGCGTACGATGATCCTTTACAAAAGATGATCTGTGCTATCAGTCTAATTGTTCCCAGCTTTAAAGTCCCACAGATTCAAAGATTCAATTGTCGCGCCCTCAACTAACCTCTGCCCTTACCGATATCATGTATGATAATTGATATTACGATAACAACATTATAACGTCCAAATAACTCGCAAGACAAACACGCTCGTGCTCACTGGATTCTTTCCATATCATCACGTTCTCATACCTGGCGAATCGCATTTTCTTAGTGAGGTAAGATAATTACCGCTGTTTATTCAGAGAGGTTCAAGGGGGTAATCCACGTCAATTTTGTTTGGTGGAAAATCTTAGCTGAGCGGTGTCGCGTGAACCCTACACGAGGTGAGAAAAGATCGATTGTGTCTCCTATTATTGTAGCTTGAGAACCGCTAAAAAAATTGATGTTGCCATAACCGTTTACCCCAAGAAACGGACATGCTCTTCTGGATGGTCAATAAAGCTGATTTGGTCTAAAAGGAAAGTAATGCGAAACAATCAAATTTAGATTATAACCAAGCAGCTCAGAAAAAAAGTCTTAGTGGTAATAAAACAGAACTTATTTTCTGATTCATTGCGGGATTTTTGCAATTGAAGTTTTCGCTGATGAACAATATGATGAAAATGTAGATAGCTGTTTCCTTATGATATGGCCGGAAGCAAACAGTAATAAAAAAAAATGCTCAAGGTTAGAAATGCAAATGAGCGAATTTGCTCTGTTGTCTACTCATAAAAATGAGATTTATCCAACTCAAATTGAGTGAAAATTAAGCAGGGTCTTGAGAGATCAATTCCAAAACAGATGGTAAAAGGGGATTAAGACAAAACAAATACACAGACGGCATGGAACGCTTCAGAAAACCTTGTTTGAAAAAAGTTTTACGAGAAATGAAAACTTATTGAAAACATGTTTAGACTAAAATTTTTCTTCTCTCCGACAAAACCTGCATGTTTGCTTTTTATGCACTTTGTTCTCTAATGTGATTCAATAGGATTGCGTGCTTTGTTATTCTAACTGAAAATTAAGATAATCTGCTGAGATATCTTTTTAGGTACTTTGCGACGCCAGATTCTCTTGCGTAAATGAATTGGCGATGAAAACCATTAAAAAACATGTTCTGTTACGAAAAGGAGCAAGAGTCAAATTATAGAAGAGAGAGTTTAGCCTCAGTGCATTTTTATATTCGCTAAACAGTCTTTCCGTAACTCATAACTTTGGAGGTTTGACGCGCTGGCGATCATTTTCTTTATATACATATATATATTTACATTTGACGGACTCTTAAGGACGATCCCGGAAGTTTTTACCATGACTCCTTCAAGGTAAATGACAAAACTGGAAATCAAAAAAGGATCCAGGTGCTTGGGGAAAGTAACCTCAAATGGCATAAGGCTTAAACTCCAATGGTAACATTATAATAACGAAATAATTTGGTGTAAGGTTACGATAGCACAGCTACAGTGCGGCAGAAAACATGACTACGCTTACATTTCATGTTTGGGGTATATCAATTTCTGAAAACTGAAGCCGGAGGTTAAAAATTTCTACCGAAAGTGAATCACTATACGCCTAAAGAGTCATTTGAGTAAACTGTGTTATATTTAATCTCGTTTACTATGTCAGTCAAAAGTAGATGTTTATTTTTTCATCACTAGTTTTTTAAGTGAGATATTTTTATGTCTTACCCTACTCATACATATATGATCGACATCAAACAACAAAAGCATTCCGTCAACGCGAGAACGCTGTAAGTGCACTCGGAAACACTTTTGATTCGCAAAAAGTATTTTAAAGTACTTCGTCTCGTGAATTACTGCGCCTATTTTCAGGAAATCTCATTAAATGGTCGAGCAAACATAATGGACAATGGATTGAGGCGGCGAAATAAATATTCATAAAATATTGTCTTGTATCCAGTAGCAGTGTCTAGGAAAATGTTCCAATGTGAATAAATACTGAAGGATTTTTTCCAAAATGAGGGGAAAACATCATCAACAGCACAAGTTTTAGCAGTAAATATGGAATGATATTTCTTGGGTCTAAATCCACCCAAAAAAAAAAAAACAGGTCTACTGTCATCAGTACATGTTTCTCGCTGCATGTTTAGTCTTAGTTCGTTGTGTTCTTTTAAATAAAATACAACTGTGAATTGTCACTCCTTTGCTGACAGTGCAAGCTCATTGAATGTTATTACAAAAAGATAAAGGAGATTGTGACTCGTTGACTATTTGATAAGGCCTGATGCAAAAGTTTCAGTCGGTGTAATTGAAAAAAACTAGCTAGCTCGGCTTACTTCAGAAAAATGATTAGAGGAAGGGGTCTCATCTCTTGATGTTATCTGATGAAAGTATCCCTAAACCCACGCGTTTATTTTTCATTTCTAGAGAATGATATTTTACCTTAAAAGAAGACTCAGAAGTCAGGTAAATAATAGAAATCTCTCTTTCTAAATTGAATATATATTCATATTTTCATTTGTCAACAAGGCCACAAAATACTAATTATCCTGAACGAGTTTACTTATTTCGATTTTAAATATAATACCTCTTAGAAAATAAACCTCCAACATGAAAATGATAAAACAACTAGAGGAAATAAAAATAAAGAGTTTTGTGATCTAAGCCAAATATCACAAGGGGGTTTAGTCCATTACGCATCAAATTGAAGACTTCAGAGTTTTCAAATCGGAACAGAGCCAGGGAGATGAGATGTTACTTGAAGGACTTTTCCTAGCAGCCGCGTGTAGGGAAAAATTTTTTACTTAAGAAATTTTCATTTTGATTATCGAAGAGTAATCGTAGCTGTAGTGTTTCCCAATGTCGTCAAGACGATCGTAATTTGTTCTCTTTCTTCAATAGTGACTACTATATTATTGTGCTCCTATGGTAATAACCATAGTGACATCGTGTCACCAAAGTCAGCGTTTTTCAGAATACTCATAAAGGAAATATTTGCTTGCAAATAGAATTTTTATGCTTCTTCTCCCCGTTGTGTACTTTTTATTTCTTTTGGGGGCCTGGGACTTGGGGTGGCATTTAATTGGATTGTACCCAATGAAAAGACCTAGAAAAAGAGATAAACAAAATCCAAAGTTGTAAACAAAAAGAAAATATGATTATTACATGTAATAAAAAACGGGGATGGACGGTAATTAATCAGTTGAAATTTAAAAACGATTTCTGGAAAAAATGTTTAAAAACTACGAGCTTTCGACTGCCCAAACTGCAGTCTTCGACGGGTAAAATGAATGATAAGCAAGCGATGAGAGAATTTAAATAAAAATATGATCTGCGAAATAATGAGAATGTAAATGATTATGAATATTTGTTAAAAAGAATGTTGTATTGTCGAGGTAACGAGCAAGAATTGTTATCTGCGTTTGTTGTCATTCTGGTATGCCACGCTTCTAATGTTTTTCTGGTTCCAAAAGAGCCTTTGTTAATAACTGACGCGTTTTCAAAGTCAATGGCGTGGTTGTTGGACCAGGCGTGATCAGCAATTCTAGAACCTTTGGCCGCAGTTTGATATTTCTCAAATGTTCTTTTTTTCGGGTATTAAAAGCTCTTCTGGTTTCCCCAATATAACACCACGAACAATTTGCACAGGGAATTTTATACACGACGTTGGTCTGCGATTCCATCGAAGGTCGGAATTCGTGGTGTTATCTTGGGGAAACCAGTAGAGCTTTTAATACCCGAAAAAAAGAACATTTGAGAAATATCAAAACTGCGGCCAAAGGTTCTGGAATTGCTAATCACGCCTGGTCCAACAACCACGCCATTGACTTTAAAAACGCGTCAGTTATTAACAAAGGCTCTTTTGGAACCAGAGAAACATTAGAAGCGTGGCATACCAGAATGACACCTAACCCAGATAACAATTCTTGCCCGTTACCTGGACAATACAACACTCTTTTTAACAAATATTCAATCATTTATATTCTCATTATTTCGCAGTTCATGTCTTTATTTAAGCTCTCTCATCGCTTGCTTATCATTAATTTTAACCGTCGAAGACTGCATTTCGGGCAGTCGAAAGCTCGTAGTTTTTAGTCATTTTTGCCAGAAATCGTTTTTAAATTTCAACTATGTTTCATCCTGGCTGCGGCCCTTCAATATTTTCAGGTAATTAACTAGTTTGAGACACGAAAGCTAAGATTTAGGGAGGTAAAACCCCTAATGCAAAATCTTTGAATTAACCCCGATTTATCCTTTGCTAACAGACTCACCACGTTATTTGTTTTATTTGTTTGTGTATTCATTTATTTATTTATTCATT